ACATGGATGTTTTGGCGCACGCCACCAGGAATCCACCCAATAAATTACCCTGGCTTATTGTCCAGCTCACACAACCAGAAAAAGCCACGAGCGAAATTATTCTAAAATAACGCAATGTTTTGAATAACTGGTAAATCACCTTTTACGTCTCTCGAAAAAGGGGAACCTATCGCCGGACTATTCTACAGGAACTGAATCTGTTTCCTGCCAGTAGCTGGTTTAATTAAAAAAAACATACTTTCTTTATAGAACGACGCATTCATGTACAATAGACAATTTTTATTTGGCATAATCAACCCATGTGTCGAAAAAAATGACAACAAATATTCTGCTGGCAAGCAGCTTTTCAAGGACAAAAAAAGGGGTGTTTACTGTTTCCGATTCAGGTGAACGATGAGAAATCCACTGTTTAAACTGGCTGATCCCTTTCTCCTTTTTTTCACCGCTCTCTTGAAATCTGCCATTCTTCTTTGCTTCATATTCTGATATTCCTTTTTTTTTACGACGCATGAGTAATTTTTAATCGCTATTCTGACTCTGACCTGTAAGTTGGTACTCTACTTCTCCCTGGGCTGCGGCGGACAGATAATAGGCCCGCTGGTTACCAAACCTCCACGTTTCATATCCTGTCTGCATTGTGCGCATGGGCCCTCGGCTATAAATACCGCAGCCGAGGGAACGTCGCTTGCAGAAACTCGGAAGGTCATGTGCATCCCCCGGCAGCATCGCAGCCAAAGAAGCAAATGATTCAAACCATCGATGAGAACAAAAGCAAACTGTCCATTTCTCTTCTCTGCTCATTTCCACACACCTTTTTTTGTTTGCTCTTTCTTGTCTCCCGTAGAAACACCCGGAACAACACACCCGTTAGTTAATTCATCCACCTCTCCTCCGGATGACCGCCATGTACTCGATCGAGCTCCCGGGCGCACCCGATATCCCTGGCGAGACCAAGCCGCGGATCGACGCAATTAACCCGTCCGGCCAGCTGCTCGGCAACATGGACGGCATCAACAACATGCACGACAACTTCATGCAAGGACTAAAGCTTGCCGGCGCCGACGCACAGTGCTTTGGCTACCGTCCGCTCGACGAGAACCGCGTGCCGGGGCCGTACACATGGCTGACGTTTGGCGAGGTCAAGGACACGGCGACCAAGATTGGCTCCGGATTCACCAAACTGGGCGCCGGGCCCAAATCCTGCGTGGGCATATTCTCGCCCAACCGCATCGAGTGGTCGCTGGTCGAGCACGCCACGTATATTTACGGCCAGATATCGGTGCCTATGTACGACACGCTGGGCGTCGAGGCAATCGAACACATGGTCGAGGAGGCCGAGATCTCGCTGATCGCCATTGCGCCCGAGAAGCTCGCCGTGTTTGCCGGTCTCTGGGCGCATATGCCCGGCGTCAAAACTGTCGTGGTGTTTGGCGAGCTGCCCGCAGACCACAATGTCGAGGTTCCTGCGGGCGCCCGGCTGCTGACGCTTGATCAGGCGATTGAGCTGGGCGCACAGGACGCGCTGGCAGAGCTGCCCGAGTCGCCAGCGATGCCCGGCGACACGTGTACAATCTGCTACACGTCGGGTACCACGGGCCGACCCAAGGGCGTGGTGCTCTCGCACATGTGCTTTCTGTCGACCACGCATGCCGCGCGGCTGCGCATCCAGCATGGCTACATTCCGACGCTCGACAATAGTGACGTTCATCTGTCGATTCTGCCTCTAGCGCACTGCCTCGAACGTGTGATCCACGCGGTGCTCACGGGCCTGGGTACGCGCATTGGATTCAACCAGGGAGACGTGCGCAAAGTGGTCGACGACATCGGCGCCCTGCAGCCCACCGTGCTGGTCGGCGTGCCGCGCATCTTCAACCGCATCCACGACCAGGTGTGGGCGCAGGTCAACGCCAAGGGCGGCGTTGCCAGCTCGCTGTTCCATTATGCGTTTGGCGTCAAGCGCGCCAACCTCAAAGCCAACGTTAACCACCATTGGCTGTGGGACCGTGTGGTGTTCAAGGCCGTGCGGCAGAAGTTCGGCGGCCGCCTGCGTCTGGTGATTTCGGGGTCGGCGCCGATCTCCGCCGACGTGCTGGACTTTCTGCGCATCAGCCTGTCGACCACGGTGCTTGAGGGCTATGGGCTGACTGAGACCGCGGGGCCCAGCGGCGTTACCTGCATGGGCGACATGCGCGCCGGCAGCGTGGGCCCGCCGCTTCCCACGACCATGTACAAGCTGCAAAGTGTGCCCTCTATGGGCTACACCGTGGACGACCAGCCGCATCCGCGCGGCGAGATCCTGGTCAAGGGCCACAGCGTGTTTTCGGAGTATTTCAAGCAGCCCGAACTCACCCGCGAAACTCTGAACGACGGCTGGCTGGCGACCGGCGACATCGGCATGTTCGACGAGCAAGGCAACCTGGTGGTCATTGACCGCAAAAAGAATATGTTCAAGCTGGCTCAGGGCGAGTACGTGACGCCCGAGCGCATCGAGACTATCTATACGAACAGTGCGCTGATCGACCAGGTGTATGTGCACGGGGACTCGCTACAAAGCGCACTGGTCGCCGTGGTCGTTCCAAACGAAGAGTTTTTGGCCCGCGAAATCGCCAATACGCCCGATCTGGCCCATCTCGCTGGCCGCCCGCACGCCGAGCTGTGCAAGGATGCGGGCGTGGTCAAGCTGATTGTCCAGGCGATGGACGCGTGGGGCCGCAGCAGCGGTCTCAAGGGCTTTGAAATACCCAAGCACATCTTCCTCGAGGCCGATGCCTTCTCGATTGACAACGACATTCTGACGCCGACTCTCAAGGTCAAGCGCCCTGCCGCCAAGGCAAAATATGCACCGGTCATTGCCCAGCTGTACAGCGAGCTTTGAGCGAAGAAAGCAAGAGCAAATAAAAAATAAAAACAGCATGCTGTTCCAGCAAAAAAAACTGATGAGGGTGGGATTCGAACCCACGCCTATTACTAGACCACGGCCTTAACGTGGCGCCTTAGACCGCTCGGCCACCTCACCAATCAGCAAGCAAGCTGAAAAAGCTAGACTTTTCCTACTTATCAGTGTTTAGAGACACTCTCCATGCTAGCTAAACAAAGCTACACTGCCATTTGTTGCGTTTGTGTGTGAGGGGAAAAACCAGTCTGGTCACAGTAATTGGTTGTATTTAACTTATATATTCTTAAACTAAGTATGACGACTAAATAAACAGGAATGCTGACCAATGTTAATGGCAGCTATTACTTGCCTTTACAGCACATGAACAGGCCAAACAGGAGCAGTGACATTCCATGTCCAACAGCATAAGCTGACAATCCTCCAACAAGAAAGAAGGCTGTGGAAAGGCTAATATAATTTCGGTAAGCATATGTAGATCCACCCATATATTCCTTGGCTCCATCATCACCAAGGGACATCAGGACAAGCATGGGGTTTCCAAATGACAGAAATCCTCCAACAAGCGAGAAGAATCCAATGGTAACATATCTGTGCTTCTTCTTCATGTTAAACTGCATAGCACTAGCCTTTTTTGCTTTATCAGTACCTTCTGTACCTTCAGGTGCTGCTGAACCTCCAAACCAAGTAAAGTATAGAAAGAACAATGCCCAAACAGCCAATCCAGCTTCTTTACCTGCCTGCGCAGTAAATATTAAGTCCAAACTTCCCTTGTTCTCGTTAATGAAAAATATCAGAACACCACATCCAGCAACAAAAGTTAAAAGTGCCAGGGATGTCAGCATACGCTCTGACAAGTGCCCTTCATCACTCTGCTTCCTAAACCACTGCATCTTGACAATGTAGTTCTATGGTAATCACAAACTGTGGTAAAAAAATATATAATTATAGTGCACAAGAAAAAAGCAATTGAAAAGATTATAGTAAAAAAGAGAGAGAGGAAATTAGGTGGGCATTGGGCAAGAAAAAAATTTGTAGCATGTTTCAAAAGGATAGCTAACTTTATTTATTTTAAAAGAAAATAAAAGACAAAGGGCTGGTAAATGCCAGTGTGAAAGAAATTCCAGCCTGCTTTATTGCTTTAACCACTGCTTTGAAAGTAGTTTCAAAGGGGAGCTTCTTTGAACAGCCTTTTTTCCATCAAACAGCTTTTAGTAATAAAGAGGCCTTTTGCTAAATACCAAACATGCCAAACCTCCAAAGCATGTTTTTTTTAGCAAATGGCTGCTATGATTTAATTATTAAGAATTCGGTTAGCAAGTACAGCATGGTAATACCTAGCGAAGCAGTTCATTAGAGCAAATGGTCATTCTCAGAACTTGTAAGCACTGAACCAGTGGCCAGGTTTCTAATGTAAAATTAAGCTTCCGGTGTGGTTTTTTTCTCTTGCCACGGTCAAGCGCTCTGGAATTTAAGCTAACAAAAAGAATGACAGCGAGACCTGCTTGCCATTTTCACCATCCAACTCTATAACGGCTAGAATTATCGTTCGTGTTGGTTACCATTAAAAAATTAATTCAGTTCGGCGTACAGCTGTGCCAGCGTGTCCTTGAAGTAGGTATTGGCTACCCGGCGCTTGAGTTTCAGCGTCGGGGTTAGCAAGTCCATGGCTTCGAATGGGGTGGCCACCAGCCGGATGTTTTTGGGAATTTCAAACCCGCGTAGGTCCTGGGCCTTGCCCCACAGCGCCAGCTCAGCGATGACCTCGGTGCGCGCCTGCTGGTTGTGGCATAGCTCTTCCAGGCTAACCTGGGCGCTGGGCTGCGCCGATATAACTTTCTTGCTCTGCAAGAACATGGCAAACAGCGTCTCGTCGGGCACAATGATGGCCACCAGACAGCTTTGCAGCGAGTCGCCGTAGACAAATGCCTGGTTGACGATGAAATGGTCCATAAGCACGTTTTCGATTCGCTCGGGCGTGATATACTCGCCCTGGGCCAGCTTGAACAGGTTGTTTTTGCGGTCAACGATATGGAAGCGGCCGCGCGAGTCGACCATGCCAATGTCACCGGTGCACAGCCAGCCGTCGGCAGTAAACGACGTGTGCGTGGAGTCCGGCTGGCGATAGTATTCAGATGCCACGTTGCCGCCCTTGATCAGGATCTCGCCCCGCGGGTACGGCTGGTCGGTGACGCTGTAGCCCAGCTCAGACACGCTGCGC